CCTGCTGACATTCTTGTTCTCTTTTCTGCATTATATTCCTGGGGTATATGGCTACTTTCTTAAATTCGAGTCCCCAAGAACTGAACTTTTTTCAAGAGAAAGTTCTTTTTTAATCCTTGGCCATTTGGGTATCTGTCTCTACACATGGGTTTGCATACCTACTTGTCTGTAGACAACCTTGTGGGATGTTTAAAATACATCCTTCATCTATCTTTGCAGCTTAGACATTTCTTGGTTTTCACATTCTAAATTATCTTCATAGTGTTGCCTTTCCCAAAATCTGTTTTTACTTTTGATCAGTCTTTCTCTTGTCTGCTTACTGAACAGCAAGAAGAATAAAGAAGAAAGAGGGCTTATTAGAAATCCGATGGCAAGTGATGTCCTATTCTTATTTCATTAAATTTAATAACAAAGCTTTACTGGATATACAAGGATTTTCATGCATAATAGTTTCAGAAAACTGAGCTAGTTTTAAACTAGTTTGTACTATCTAACCCTGACCAGAGAAGATTTAAGATTATGTAACTTATCCAGCCCAAAAAGCAGTGTTTACTTCTAAACTAATGTCTATTTGATTAAGGTAGGATGCAGTTTACTTCAGTATTTCATTGTCTTTTTAATTTTCAAGTGCCCCTCAATTATGTTTCAGTCAACCAGGACTGCATGTGTGTTGTTGCCAGTTATGCAGTAGAGTGAGTCTGCAAGCCTTTCTGTAATATAGTGGAAAATTCCATTTCAGTGCTTTATTTCCATTGTCACCTATTTCTGTAACAGTATCAAGGTTTGTAATATGCATTTTAATAAATGTAGCAGTTAGTAATGTATTTGTAAAGTCACAGATTTTACTTACCCTTTACAGCTACTCTTTAGAACAAACGGAACAGTTTCTGAACTGTGTTCTGGAGGCAGATCCTGTAAAAACAGTTATAGCTCAAGAAAATGTTCAGCAAAATGAAATAGTTTCTTCCTACAGTGCTGCAAAGAGCTGGGAGAAGAAGGTATATATATATTTTTTTTTTTAAATAGTATTTACAGATATATCCAAAGCTATGTTGATCAAAACACCCTACAATACTTAGGTTCAACATTGAAAATTCCTACAGGCAAAAAAAAGTAAGGAAGAGGATGATCCTTTGAGTGAAGTATTTCAAGATTTTGAGTATCCACAATACGAGGATTTAAGAGCAGAAGCTTTTTGTCACCAGCAAAAGAGACAGGAATGTTTCAGAAAGGCTGGGGAGGCCTATCGCATGGGTATGAAGCCTGTGGCAGCATTTTATGCGCATCAGGTAAATGTAAATATTATGCTTTTTGCCTGAAAGTAGAGAGTTACTTTAATACTGAATTGGAAGTGATAAGAAAAACATTGTGCCTAGTAGAGTTGATAAATTTGCTCAATTGCTATTCCCTGTGTAAGGTGATTCTCAGTATAAGACTTACAAGTAAAATCCCTTTCACTAGTCATGATACTGATGCAGGAAGCTAACGCAACCAAATTCAATGCAAGACCTTATGGAAGATGATATTTAGTGCTTAGGCACACATGCTCAGCTTCTCGTAGATCTCACTCTTACATGTGCATGCTTGTAAGCACCAAGATTTGTGTCCTTGTGGTCTGGCCAGGTTTACAAATGTGTGACATGGACTGCAACAAAACATCAGTTTTCAAAACTTCCATATGTCCCTTGGGTTCCTTTTAATTGGTGATGAACTGGTTTTAGACACTGTTTTTAGACACCTCTTTTGTACTTTTTGGGAGTTGGACAGGTATTAAGATGTGATCTTTAGCTTCAGAATCTTGCTTGCTTCATTCTCCATAAATCTTGGGCAAGATTGCTGCCTGCTGTCTTTTGCTTCCTCATTCTGACTATAGCTACAGCCTGTGTTGGCTTTGGGATAAATGTGCTGTGGTGTGGTGTGGTATCCCATGCTTTTTGCCATCCATCTGGTTTTGGAGTAGATCTGCCACTGATCAGTCTTTTGTGCTCTGGCCTTGGAGCACAGGCTCTCTACTTTGATATGAGTGTGTTTGTCGGTATATACCAGTTTGATTAGTGCTGATCATTCCTGTTGGTCATATTCTTGATTGTAAGTATCAAGTGTTCTTGTAATGTTCCCCTACATTGGATTTCTCAGTGCCCTCACAGACCCTTCCTTTCACACTTCATTCAGACAGTTCTTAAAAATTCTGTTACAAATATCTTAAAAGGCTGTCACTTTTTTCTGATCTAGTAGCATGTAAGAATGCACATTATAGAAGCATTTAGTTCTAAACTATGAATTGCACTATGACAGAACAAAAATGTAATAATGAATCATTTGAATTTGCTCATCTTAAAGCTTTCATGTAATTGGTATAAAATATCACTCAAAATGTTAGATCATTTCTATGCATATAGGAAATACTGATTATTGGTTTTTATAATGAACTTTATGTTCTTTGTTTATATATTCTTGGAATTTGGAGAGATTCTAAAAAAAAGGTCTGCATGATTTTAAATAGAAATGTAATTTCAAGTTCTGCCTTTCTTTTATTCTTATCCATAACAACAAGTACAATCTGGAAATTTATTATAAGTTTTCTTTTGGTTAATAAAAAGGCAAACTAAGCTACTTTTATTCATGAAAAATACTTTGTGCTTGGTGGCCTTAGCTTGTCTCTGGAATTCTCTGCAAGTGAGGGTTACAAGGGCTGGTGCCTCTGATCTGACACTAATACACTTGAGGTGATCAATTTTAAGGAAGTGTAAGACCGACTGTCACTTCTGTTGTCTTGAGCCCTTGTCAGTCCAACACCTGGAGTTGTATCTTCCATTCTTTCTCAGGTTGTGACTGCCGATCTTCACAGACGTAATATGTAGCTTCAGTGTCAGATACTGTCACTGCAAGGTCCATGGGAAATAGTTTGTACTTGTTCACTGAGTAATGTGAATAACCCTGTACTGCTTCTTGCTCCTCATTCCACTAGGGACTGTATTGACCTTATCAGACATAAAAGATCTGTCAAAAATATTAGGAGAGGTAATAGGCAAGTATTTAAGAAAAAGAAAAAAAAAAGTGTTTGCCCTTGACTTGTCTGATTTTTAGGGATTGCATTCAGAAGAATTAGCATCAACTGTAACACTTGGCAGGTTTTTCCTGGGCTGTTGGGCAGTTTCTCTGACATAGTTTCATTAAATTTTTAGCAAAATACTTTCAGAAAGTAAAATTCTATTGTTAGGATAATAAATCTGAAAATCGGCATGGAGTGTAACTTTTTAGCTTATGTAAAGACCTTATGATTTTGTGCTTTGTCTGGCTTTTTTCTTTATTTCTTTTCTTGTAAAGCTCTTGTTATAATTTCTTCTTTGTGCTAGCTTTGAGTAGTTTCTTAAGAACAGATTTCATGAAATCTTGTGAGCAGGTCTCGCTGAGCCTCTTCTAGAAGTTCTGTTGTGATTATAAATTTTACTGCTTCAAACTGTGAGCTAAAAGCACCCTGCCAGTACTGTAATTCTGAACCCAACGACCAGTGTGGAGCTTAGATTATGTCTCAGCATGTAATAGTTGCTGTGCTTGTGAATAAAGGGTCGCCTTCATGAGCAGAAGATGAAAGAAGCCAACCATGCTGCTGCTGTGCAAATCTTTGAGAGAGTAAATACTTCCTTGCTGCCTGTGAATGTATTGGATCTGCATGGGCTTCATGTGGATGAAGCTGTGGATCACTTGTCCAGAGTGCTGCAGGCAAAAAGTGAAGGTAGGATTAAGCTAATCATTCTTGCTCTCTAAAAGTTATTCTCCTCATTTTCTACTATGAAATCACAATATATGGCAATATCAAATGGAATGAATGCAATTTGATAACATGTAGAAACAACTGGCTTTTGTGGTGTTTTATTTTCAGAGTTTCCCTGTGGAATTGTTTTTCTCTGACATGGCAATGATGCTTTTTGCTCTCTGTCTTGCCTTCCTCCCCCTCCTCCCACCCCTTTTGTAAATCTTCCTTTTCCTTCTTTTTTTTTTTTTTCTTCTTTTTACTGAAGACTTGATCTGTTCTTCCTGGCATTTTTAACAGAGGTGGTAATGCAGACAGTTTGTGTCATCTTTGCATTGCTTTGTCAGAACTATGTTGCTCTTCCAGTCTTTAAAGAAAAATCATTATGTTGGAATTCTGACCATAATGATTATATTGTCTTCAAGTTTTACGTGAAAATTGCATGACTTGAGCTGTCTTTCAGTAACTTCCAAACCAATTTGTCAGCAGGATCTTTTGAGATCAGACTATTACTGTTTCCATAAATGTAATTTTGTGCAATTTTGCTTGAGGGTTTGGGTTTTTTCCCATTGGACTGTTCGAGTACTTCATGAGTGTTCTTGGTGTAAATAGATATATTTTCTGCATTATTAGTTTACCCTATAAATTTAAGCACACTGGGAATGCTTTTATAAGAAATATTTCCTGTACAAGGTACCATTGCACAAACCTGATTTTTTAAAACAACTCCTCCACACAGTAGAAACAAAAGTGTTCGGTGGGGCCTTAGATAATACTTTTCTTTCAATATACATCAGATAATTAAATTGCATTATCTTGTACTATTCCTAAAATTATATTTGTATACTTTAGGCTGTAACATAATGCTTTTTAGAGCTAAACTTCCTGAGCTGCGCTTAGCATCAGTAGTCCTGGAATGACAGTAGGGACATTCTGTAGAGTTCATCTAAATCTAAAAGGTGTTCATTTCAGCATGCATACATGGGAAAGGGATTAATACTGGGCACTTAGTGCTGGCAGAATTAACGGTAAACTAATATAAAACCCAAATAAAGTTAAGCAAGAAAGAGAGAGAGAGCAGTTGAGGAAGGATGTCATGTGAACTGATAATCTCAAACTGGCAAATCTTAGCTTCTTGTGAGAATCCAGTTTAATTTATGTTTTTGCTCTTTTTCAAACTTTTCATCAATCTAGGTTGTGGTGATCTCTGGGAGAAGAGCAATTCCTTTTGTTACCAGGGCTAGATGCCCTAATAAAGCTCATGTGATGTCTTGATCTGTTGATTCACATGCTCCAACATAGCAGAAGTTAGTCCAAATAGATGTGACTTATGTCAAAAACTCTGCAGATTTGTTTTCGTCCTCCTTTCTTTCTTTATCCAATAAAATGTTATTTCTTTCTTCACATTAGTTTAAGATAAAACATGAAACAGGAGAGGTGTCACTTAAATATTAACTAATTACACCTACCACTTTTAATTTTGCAATTTTAATTTGCATCACAGGATGTACATTCCAAGTGAAGATTAGATGATAGAAGCAGTAAAGCTGCTATGAAATTAGAATAATTTTGTGATTATCACAACATGCATCTTGCAAACAATCGAGATTTAAAAAGCTTGACTATATTCTTTCAGAATATTTCTTTCAGAAGAAGGGGAAAGTGGCTACGTTTATGTAAAAGATGCATAGCCAGCATGGGAAAGCAAAGTTTTAAATCATTTGTGAGAGTTTTCAGAAAATTGAAAGGCTATACTGAATGCAAAGTCTCTGCTGAGGAAAAATTGTAACCGTTACCATCCCTGCTGTTACAGAGTACCAGCAGACTGGTGGTAAACCATATCTCTGTGTCATCACGGGAAGAGGAAGCCATAGTCAGGGAGGAGTTGCTCGCATCAGACCAGCAGCCATCAGATACCTCACAAGCCACAACTTCAGGTGAGTTCAGATTTGTGTTACTGATACTTTTTTTTCATAACCCACATTTAACTAACTGAAAACTGAAGTTAGTTTTAGAATACTGTTAAACTACTAAACAGATTAAGGCAAGTCTGCTGTTTCATAAATCCAATGCAACTGTGTGACACAAAACCATCTTGTATGCGCATCTGTTAAATGTTAGATCCTCTACTCTGAGATAGATAAAACCACTATGAATCAAACTTACCTAACATAGGTTAAATATGTACTTCAAGGTTGCTAGCTTTACTGTGAAAAGTTGTTAATCCTGCTTTTTATTGGTCTCCAAAATCTGCTCTCAGATGCCTTTATGGGACTGCAGTTCAGCAGTCTGGGCTGGCATCAGTGTGTTTGCTGCTTTTTCTTTACAGGAGTGTATGAAGGTGACTGTGAAGGTGGGACTCAGAAATAGCAGACTTCCTTTCTTACTTTCTACAAAAGACAAGGGAGAAAATCTGTTTTGAAAGAAGAGGGAATTAAGGGGGAGCAGGAAAAGAGGAGCAGAATTAAATTTTTTTTAATAATAATAATAAAAAAATCTTAGTTCCTGCTGTTTCCAGCTCATCACTTCTCCAGATTCTGTAAATCCTTCTTCACTGTCACATCCAGAGGAAACGATACTGATTTCCTGACTCTCACATGCACAAATACTTGACTGAGAACCTTATAACTTCCCATATATTTGATGAGGACTGAAAGAGATGGCATTGCACATAGCTTTCATGTTGAAGCTTCATCTTTTCTTGTTCCACAGGTTCACAGAAATAAAACCAGGCTGCCTGAAAGTCATGCTGAATTGAAGGATTATTCAGAACAGAAGATAGGTGTCAAGATTACAGCTGAAAACTTTTTTTGAACAACTGCAGTAGTGTTTTGTAATCTGTTTTAGAGGATATTTTATTAGAAATGGTCTCAGGTTACAGCAAGTGGTTTTATCAGTATGTTTCCAAGAAAATTTTTATGTGGAATGGATCTTCTTTTGAACCTGCAGAAAGACGACACTTACAGGATTTGAAGAAATGCAGATTAAGTATTCTGCTGAGCAGTATATGATGTTTTAAAGGGAAGTTAATGTAGAATTTTAAAATCTAATTGCCTTCTCAACATACCCAGTCTGTCTTTTGACCCTCACGCATTGTAATTGCTGTGGATTCTGTGCTTTTAAAACATAGTATCTTTAATACCTTGTACAAAGTTATTTTGTGATTCAGAACTTTGTGCTAAACTCTTCAGAAGAGCACAGAGGAGGTGGGAACTTGACAGCTACTAATACTTCAAATCCAGTTGTAGCTGAACGCTAAATATTTCCAAGTTTCTTCAAAAGTCTGATGTAGGTGTTTTAGTGGTTATTTTGTGATGAGCTGACCAGTTCTATTGTCCTTATTCCGTGCTAAACTTCCCCTGATACTGATGGAAGTTGCCTATAAGGAACTGTGCATTAAGACCAGCTGTGCGTTTGGTAATTTTGCAGACTTACTGTGATGTGTTAAAGGGAAAAATAAAACGCTGCAGTTCAGTCTCTACTTACACAAAGCTAGTACTGTAATTTTTCAGGAAATGCTCCTAATTTTTTCAACATCTACTGGATTAGAAGTGTTTCTTCCTTTATGACTTTTTAAATGGAGCAAATTGAGTACTGTTTCACTTTAGAGGTGTCTAATAGTGATGTGTCTTCATTCTGTGTGTACTAAATTTGGTGATTTCCTTGTAGAAAATATGATTGTCTGTGAGACATTTAAAATGTATTTTTAACATCAAAGTGAATGCTGAAACTACAGTAGTAATTGCCTAACTGGAAAGTCTGGGGGTACAAAAGTTACTCTGTTGTTGGTGATGTTGCATCAGCATCTAGAAATACCTGTGTAAAAAAAAAAAAAACCAAAACAAAACCAACAAAAAAGAACCCCAAAATTATATATAAACATCTGTACTTTGACAAGTGCTTCCAAGTAAGCAATCAGAACATTTTTAATAGAAATATCTTCTAGAATGCATTACTACTTCTAATTACATCTTTGCCTCTCAAAAGGCATAATTTTTTACTATAAACCATTTAAATTTTATTGTAAGGCTTTTTCAGAACAGGTATGAGTTGTGTATTAGGAATAATATTAATAGATTAAGGATTAATGGGAGGGTGTTTTAATTTTGAACCACTTTTGCAGTAAATTTTATCCAAGAACTACATGCACATAGAATTTGTGTATTAATCCATATCTGTGTGCAAGTTCTGCCATTTGTGTGCACGAGTAGTAATAAGGAACTTCTGTGAGAAAAGCTGTACACAGAAATAGGATTCACTTGAAAATGTGTCTGTATAAGTTGCTGACAAACTGAAAGACATGATGTTTCCGGAATATCCATATTTACTGTAATATATACACAGTGAATGCAATGTACTATAGACGTAATGAGTTTGTCACGCTTCAACAGATACAGTAATATTTTCATGGTGATTTCAAGTGTAAGAATAGCTGAATAATATTTAATCAAAGGGACTCTTACTGGAATAATGGACTGTCATGTTAAGTTTTATAGTTTTTGTGGGTACTTAGTTCATCTGAATTGTCCCTCTTTCTTTCTTTCTCTCTGGGCTGCTCTGGTAAGCAGTGGGTGAAATGGAAAAGATCTGTGCTCCCCGGACAGCACCAGCAGGGCTGTTTCTGCCACTGCGTGATGTCCTGTGTGGTGAAGCCCATGCTCCATCCTCTGTGACAGCACCTGAAATGGACTAAGATGGCATTTAGGCACTTGGGCTCCAGACCGCAGTTCAGCCTATCAGTTGCCCAGGGCTGCAATTGGTCAAACTGCCTCAGCAGAGCTTGGAGCAAGGAACTTCTGCTCCTGAACAGGCTTTCCTTAGTGCCCCTGTTTATAAGGAATGGAAGGGCAGCTCTTTAAAGTGTAGTCCCTGTTGGTTGGCCCAGGTGGCTGAGTTGCCCGGCAAAGGTCCCAGTGTATGCTCTGAAGTGTTGAGCTGCTGCGTGCCCAAGCCCTACAGCGATGTGCTTGTAAACAGGGAAGTGCCAACACTTCTGGTTGTTTTGGGAGGGGGCCTCATTCACTCAGCATGTTCACACCATTTCTGACATGGACAAAGACAGATTTCAGCTCAAAAGATGAGCAGAAAAAGTTGCTGTCTTGCCCATCTGTTCAATATAGTTGTTGACAAGTTTACCCTGGAGATGAGAACAGGTTTTTTACCTTCTTCTGGCTTAGCATGGGACGATGATTGTGCTTGACTCTTACTTTCCCAGAAAATGCTCTAACCAGTGTGCTCAGGAATATTCTTGAAGTCGCCACTTCCTGAGCCTCTTCCAAAATCACCTCTGCAAGCTAAAAATGCAAGATCAAGGGGACAAAAGATATTAAAGAATAAGAAGTGCATAAACAGTCTCTGGAAGAGGGCTCTTTTTCTCCTCAGAACAGAAGCTGTTCCCACTGAACTTCAATCTCCTTCCATGTTATTTTTTCTCTCTTAGTCCTGTTTGGATAAATGCCTAAAAAATGTTCAGGGCAAAACCTCAGCTCCACCCTCCACTTGCTAGGATAGTTGGTTTTCTCCCATCTGTCAAAATCAGCAGAGGAGTACATAGCTTGAGAGCAACTTGGAGTATTTCTCCCAGAATGGAACAGAAGATCAGTGCACAGAGAAATAGGAAGTAGACTTTTATTAGTAAGGGTTTCCAGGCCTTCAGCTACTTGCCAAACTGTCTGGAAAAAAAACCCCACTGGACTTCCTGTATTTCTTTTTTATTGTTTTTATAATGTATAATGGGTTGAATTATATGAAATATAATTATTTCAAAATGGTATTTCAAAGTAGGTTGTATTTCAGAACTTTAATCTTTTCTGATGTCTTTTGCAGTTACATCAGTGAGAATCCTAAGGTATCTTGTAAATTCTGTATAATCTTATACACTTTGATTAAAGTAGCACTCAGTATTGCCACCAGCACTCTGAAATAATGTGTGACTATTAAAATACCTATTTTGTGAACCACTTTTTATTCTGTTCTTCAACAGCATGTGGTTGCGATCACTGGTAGCCTTTTAATATGTGACTTTTGGTTTCTTTTTAACAAACATTTTAACATACCAATTTTTAAATCAGGAAAATTATCTCTTTTTTAAAAATACAAAATTTAATGGTTGTGCTAGCATTGATGAGTAATCTTATGGTAAAGAAAAAAAAAAAGGCCCAGAGATGCAATAAAGAAGGTTGTTCTCCTAAGTAATGTCAGTGTTTAAAAATATATTTCAGTTGATTCTGAAAGTAGTACAGCAGAAGTGATTTTAAAAAAAAATTCAAGATACCTGATAATAATTTAATTACTTTGGCTTTTGCTTTATATGGTACAATTTTATTTAAACCTAATGTTTAAGGACACCTCAGGCAAAGTTTAACTGGTGTTTTTTTGTGACTGGGAAACCATTGTGACTTGGGAACCTCCATTTAAACAATATCAGGATGCTCTTGTCATAACCTAGGACATCACTAGAACATCTGGGACATCACTGTTGAAAATATGTACAGTGTCAGGGAAGATCTTTACAGGCTTAGCAGAACGTGTATTCTTGAAGGTTTTACTTGAGGTGAAATGTAACCAATTTATTACGTAATCTTGCCACAAAATATGGTGTGTAGACAAGAGAATAACTTCATTGTTGCTAATGGCAAAGAAGGATCATCTTAAGTATAATATGAGGAATTGTACATAGGCTTTACGTTACTGATGCTTGTCTTCAAATGCAGCTCACATTTCCAGACTAATATTGCCCTCTTTGCAGAGCTGAGGAGATGACAGATTATGAGCATTGACAAGTTCATTGACCTACCACAATTTCCAAGCATCACAGTCTTTTAAAAAAAAAAAAGACCACACAAAACAGAACCCAACTGTTCATGCTATTTCAGCAAAATAAACTCTGCAGAGGATTAAATGACTGTATGCATGTGAAAATACCCAGTATTGCAGCTACCAGTTGTAAAAGCAGTTAGGACCAGTACATTGGAAGATATCAGTGTCTATTTTAAAATTAAAATTAAAAATTATTTTTTATTTGTATAAAGTTGTAATTTTGCTGTTATCTATAACTTTCATTTTTTACTGAAATACAATTTTGTAATTTGCATTTAGAATTTCTAATGTGAAGAGGAATTTACAAAATCTAGTTTAATAAAGGATTTTTGCCACAAGTAAAGCCTTCTGTCTTTCCTTGGAAGACTACGTTTCAGCTCGTATCAAATTTTGTCAAATAGTAGTCTTGGAATTCTGCATGAAAGCCACTTGCCTTGACTTACAGATACCATCTGTAGGGAGATGAAGTAACCATCTGCAGACATAAGAAGGAACAGATTTGTGGTCTGCTTTTAAGTGTTGTGAGTGGGAGCTGAATGCTCACATTACTGAAAATGAGGGTCATGGCTTGAGATGATTTTTTTCTTTTTTTGGCCTGAAGTAGCTGAAGAGATGTTGTTCTTCTGGCCTGGCTTATTTTATGGGAGAGTGAGGGCAGTGCTGTATGTCAAGGGGGAAAGGCAGGTATGATGAGTTCGGGGAAGGGAGGTGTTCTGGATAGACCCCATTTAGCAAGACCCCTTTAGATCAGGGGCAGGTGGGATCCTGAGGAAGCACAATCGCTGTGGCATTGTGGATTCAGAGCTGGTGAGCCTGGCTTTTCCCAAGCCTGTTCTGTGCCAATCAAGTGCAGATGTTCCTGTGGCACATTCCTGGAAGTGTGGAAAGGCAACTGAGAGCAAAGTGCTGGCTGGTGAATGTCTGGTTGGTTGTGGGCTC